ACATCAAAATGGCAGTTGTCAGTCAACACAGATAAAACGAAAATAATGATATTCAATAAGTGTAACAGACTTTTTAACAAGGAAATATTCTTTTATGAAGGAAAAGAAATCAATATACTGTGAAATACTTTATTTTAGCTGGAATTATTTTTCACTGGAAAGACAATTTGAGTGTTTTGTATGGAATTTATTATTACTGATTTTCAATAAGTTGAATGTAAAATATTCCAAGCGAAGTATTTTATAGTAGTAAAAAATTTCAATTATCTTGGCTTAATTATGAGTCCAAATGGTAAATTAAAAGATGCCATGAAAAATCTAAAAGAAAAGGAATAAAAGCTTCATTCTCATTAAAGACCAAATTTGGATCTGGTAATCTGGATATGTCCATACTACTGTCACTGTTTGATAAATTTATGAGACCAGTTATTGTGTATAGGAGTGACATTTGGGGGGAAGAAAGTTCTACAAAATCAATTGTAGAGAACGTCCAGTGTAGTGTAGTGTAGTGTAGTGTAGTGTAGTGTAGTGTAGTGTTTTTTGATATACGGATAAATAAAACGAAATTACATTAACGAAAGTGACTGATAACTTTTACTATAAAAACCTTAGCATCCCGTTGGCAGGCCAGTCACACTGGTTCTCACTACAAGAGGTTACGATCCCCCCTGCCAAATGCTAAGGAAAACTGAAACGTATATATATACATATTTACATAAAATATTGTCCACCTATGCAGATCTGTTGGTGCAAGGTTTTTATGACCGTATGCCCTTACTGATGTCAACCAAACATTTTATGTGGGAAGTTGGCACCCAAGGCTGACAGGTACTACACCTTGCCCAAGGGTGACCTGGAGGTAGTTGTGGCAAAGGGTAACCCCATTCTCCTAAGTCCATAGACTCCACAACCGGATGTAGTTTAAAATCTTGCCCAGGATAAATATATACATAATTAAATGACCTTACACGTTGCCTTTATCAGGTAATACCTCACATTTGAGGTTGAGTTGGTGCAAGGTTTTTATGACCGTATGCCCTTACTGACGTCAACCAAACTTATTATGTGGGAAGTTGGCACCCAAGGCTGACAGGTGCTACACCTTGCCCAAGGGTGACCTGGAGGTAGTTGTGGCAAAGGGTAACCTCATTCTCCCAAGTACAAAAACTCCACAACCGGATGCAGTTTTAACGTCGTACCCAGTAGTATAGTATATTTTATTTGACTCAAATTAATGAATTGGAAATACATTAACTGTGGTCAATAATCATACACAAAAAAACACAATAACAAGAAATACAGATATTAAAAATAAAATAAAATGTTAAAACAGATAACACTAACAACTATTAGGTATTACATTGTAAAATTATGTTAATAACTTTCCTGGACTATTGGCAATAAAACTGTCTTTTTTTCCCATAATATGCACAAACATATTTTTATTTGGTAATTTTAAAATATTATCATTGTATAATGATAGAGTATTCCAAAAGTAGCCAAACTTTATATGCCAAACGTATTGCAAACTCCACAAATACATGTACTCTACATCGAGAAGCGTACTATGTCAATAAAAATATTAAATGTAAATGGTTTAAAAAACTTGATTTAATATTAAAAAATATAAACCATTCTTATCTTTCAAATGAAACAAATATTATCTCATTATCAAAATTAAAAACAATTGATGAGAGATTAAAAGAAGAGTTTACAACTGAGTGGAAAAATGAAATAAATAATGACAACAGAAAAAATCAAATACATCAAACCTCATACTGGTTCACTGCGTGACCATTTGCTTTGTAGTGATGGGGTGACCATGTGATAGATAATGACTTTGGATGTGGTGATTTAATGAAATGCATTTGTAGTACAAAGTGTAATATGAAGTAACCTTGTCATACGAAGTGATTACATAGTACGAAGTGACGATGTGATACGTAGTAAGTGACCATGTGGTGCAAAGTAACACTGTTGTATGAAGTGACCTTGTTCAAAGTCAAATCAATAGCTTCTAAGGATGGTATTCCCAGAATAGCGCAAGTTGTTAAAGAAAAATAAAACTTTAATTCTCAACAACGATGAAAGGACCAGTTACTGCGACAAAGCCCTACATCCTGCGAGACCCACTCAATACGAAACCCACTTACCGCGAAAGCCACTCACCGCGAAGCTACTAGTTTTAATATAAAATGATTTTAATATGGTAAATATGTATATGTAGGGTCTATGCAATCCGTACAATTATTATGTCTGTATATTTGCATGCATAAAATGCAAAATTAAAAGCATGTGAACATTTCATATTGCCAATTCCATGCATTGTAAAATGTGAAAGTTCTTGTATACTGAAGAAACCACATTTTCAGAAAGTGAGTTTTGTAAGCTTGCTGTGCACCAGCTAAGTTGCAAACCGGCTTTGTAGTCTAGCATACTTTAAGAAAGTCTAATGTCACGTTACTTGCAAACCGTACTGAGCTTTGTGAATCATGATACTTTTATCCTGGTTAATTGTCATAATTGAAATCTGTATACAGATACTTGGTTATGATCATGGAATAGAACTGGAATTCAGTTTCAAAGGGCTTCATTCTTGAAATTCATTCATGTGAAATTACACTACATGCAAAGTCTCTAAAATGGGATAATTTTCTAGTATATTGTTTGTATATATTAACACATATTACATGGCTGACTTTGACACTTAAAATATTGTTACTATTATTCTGTTCTTCAACATGTTTCTCAGTTGTTTGTTTTTACATTTCCATCTTCTGGTGTATAAGAAGAAAGAAGCGAGTGTGATGTTGAGTTATCATTGTTGCCATGGCAGCCTGGTTTATCAACAAGTTCTTTCTTGGACTTCCATTGAGATTGACATCTTTTGTAGCTAATTTGCATAAAGATGAGTAGACTTAGAAGCAATAGAGTGCTGCTAGGCAATACAAATGATAGATTGTAGTTGGAGGTGATGTCATATATCAATCCTACAGTAACAAACATACAGGGAAGGATTCAGGATCTGTAAGCCAACATTTACATAATATACATCAACGTAGCTTTAAATCAAATAATTTACTTTAAAGTCAATTTTTTTCAAATTTCACAAAAATGAAGTTGCATAATTTTGTCTATGTATTTTGTGATCTGTTGTTGATGGGAAATTATTTCTATTGGAATCATAATTAACTGAACATGTAAGTTGGACAAAGTAAAGCAGTTTTGATTCCCAACTCACAATTATGTTGCAACCACAGTACCATGCAAATCTGATTTATGTATACATGCATAATATCTACAAGACTGTAAAAGTTGTATTTGTTTTTGATCTTGTCACTCTACTGTACCTGTACATGTCTTGAACATGTAAATTAAGGAAATAATGATACAGGAAATATTAGCATATAATAAAAGGCACACTGAAAACAACCATGGTGGAAAAATTACACAGTTGCTTTTGCTGTGTCATAATTATGATACCGTATATCACAATTTAATTTTTTTTAGGAAACCTGTTTCACTATGTAGTTTATATTATCATATCTGTTATAAAAAAAAATTGCTATAATTTTAACATAATTTGGAATAGACAATTCATCTTGCGTAATAGTTATCCTATCCTATCTTTTATCTTATAAATGCACAAGATATGGGTCTCATCCAAACATAGACTTCAAGTGCTTAGCAGAACAACAAGTTTAAAATGAGACATGATCAATGTTCAACTAGTTATTCCTTGGATGACTGGAACATATTGATAAATATTCAAAGAGCCAAAGTTGTTATCTCGTGCACATTGCTTCCAGAGCAAAAATTCACATTAGTGCTTGTACAACTGGGAAAATGCATTGGATTATGGGAAAAATCAATCTTTATCACACAAATCTCACATGTACATGTATGGCGCGATGCCAACCATCCTTTAGTTATGACAGGTAATTCAGTGTGTCTTTTTTTTTTTTCACAATGGCTGAATTTAATGTGCTGTTTTTTCCTGTGCCATTTCTTTCTTGTGCCATTATTACATGATCATACATAATATGTATATCTGACTAAATAATTAACATTATGCGCAGGCAGCTCTCTTGTGATGAGATTTCTCAAACAATCAATTATAGCGCCTGTGTACGAAATCTGATTGCGAATAAGATAGTCATTTGGTTATAGGGGTAATGTACATGTGATGACCAGAATAGACCTTAGATGAATATGGTAGCCAAGATCTCTATGAGAGCAAAAGACCTACTAGACGTGTTTTTCCCCTTCGTTGGGTTCCATTGCTCTTCCATTAATTATCACGTCCACCATTCCCCTGACCTATGCAATCATGGTGTTTCTAATGGCATTGTTTTTGGTTGAACAGTGTTACAACAATGCAATCGTACAGACAACTGGCCTGGGTGTTAATTTATTCATAAACTTGAAGTAGTGAAATTTGAGCTGCTGCCCTGCAAAATTGACAACTGGTAGACAGTTTTCAAGAGGACCCTTTCTTCATAGTAAACAGATGTACCCATAAACCAATTTTGACAGAGAACAGAAGCATGGTTTAGAAGCTAATTTTTTTTAAATCACTTTTGATCAAAAAAGCACATTTTTGTGCATATTTCAAACTGCAATGTCCATAAAAAAATACTAGCACAATTTTAAAATTCATACAATAAGCTTGCCGAAAATATATAGTTTTGTGGACAATGGAGGTCATCTTGGTTTCCTAATTAACTAATCAAAATACCTGTCAGGTAAACTGCATCTCTACTTTAAAGACAAAAAAAAGCGTCTGTAATATGACTGACTCTCAACAAGATATCAGTGTCCAAACCCCTTCTACCCTTCTCAAATTGTAATCAGATACATTGTATACTAGTAACAGAAACATTGCCGCTACTTTCTACATGAACTAAACAATGAAGATGGCTATAGTAACAAAATATCTTTATTATATTATCCTGCTTCATAACCTGTGCCTGTATATTTCACAAAAATGTATTACTTACCTGCTGTAGGTGGTCCACATATAGCACCAATGCTTATATAAGTCAGAAACCAGCCAAATGCACTTGACATGTCTTCTTTACCAAAACATGCTTTCATACAAACTGCACCATGAAGGGGAATTGCTGTACCACTGGATATACCATAAATTGCAGCTATGAAGGCCAGTACTAAGTAGTTGCTATTGGCAACAAGTATAGACATTAGTGATACTCCTGCCAAAAGCCATGCACATGATGTGATGAACATTGGAGAAAAGAACCCTGTATCAACAAACAAACCATGTGTTAATCTTCCAATTAATGAGCACACTCCCATGATTGTCATTAGAATTGCAGAATCCACTTTGGCTGTTCCATCAGATACCGCTTTTGCTACAAATGAATCATGGCTGTATATGACCAAT